ATATATGTTATATATGTATACTGGAATCTGAGTCAAAATGAAAAAACTTCTGTGACAAGTCGCTGGATATAAAGCAACATACGAGCTTTAGTAAATTCTGCTAAATATGTGCATTTACAGGAGAAATTTATTAGAATTATTTCTGCCTTCTTAAAAACCTAAACAGTATTACTGATAATACTTTTTAAAAGCTGACCTCATTTAAAAATTGATAACTAAAATAAGAATTTCAAGGTCCTTTTTTCCCATTCTTTTGTGGCTGTTTTTGCTTTTGCAGCACCACAAATAGAACCCATACATGCTAGCTAGGCAAGCACTCTACTGCTAAGCTACATCCACCCCATTTTCCTGTTCTTTTTTCCAGCTATTTTGCAAGTTCATGAACACATAATATAAAAGTTTCTTTAAATGTACTATATAGTTCCTAAGTTTATATTCATGTCAATTTAGTTATTTGATTCCTAGACATTTGTGTTGGTCATGGCTACTAAAGTTTTTGTGTGGTTTTATTCCATTCATTTGGTCATTTTAACAGCCCTTACTAGTTTGATCAATTCCTTTAAAGTGAATTTATCTCTAAGTTCCAGCATTCCTTTTCCAATTCCACCTAGGTTGGCCTAAGATTTCAGTACATTCTTCGGAGACTAAATGCTGTGAATATTTTAGTTTTGAACATAGAATTGTGTTGCAATCACATGTTGCAATAGCATCAGTTAAAAACAACACTAACTAGACAAAGCAAGCAAATTTAAAAAATAAAAATAAAATCCTCTAGCTCAAATTAGGTCTCATTTGATCACTAAAAAAATCCCAATCAACAAGAGCTTAATTTTATAAGACTAAATATACACAACCAATAATGCACCAAGTCACTTCAACTACTAGCCCATCTACATTACTTCTTCACAAGTACAAAGGCCAACAAATTTTTATCTACACCCCCATTTCCATTTTAAGTAAAATAGACCATGTCTGTCTGTCAGTGGTTTCAATTTGTTAATGATGAAAGAAAACATAATACATATCTTTGAAATTCAATCTTTTATTTTTATCAATGTTATTTTCATTTTTTAAAATGTTACTGGACTTAACCTGAATGTTATTAGAATTATCTAAAGCACAACTAAAAGGAATACTACTCTTGGTTCTGCATAATTGATTACCATCAGAAATTTCTGCTTATTCGAAAACTATTCCAAGCTCATTTAAGTACACAGGAACAAATTCCTATATTCTCTTATTCAGCAGGTTTTTCTAAAACTTGTCACATTTAAATTATAAAAGATAAATAGAAGTACACTTCTTTTGTTTTTAAGGTAGTCTCTTTTTGAAGGACATGGTAGTAGAAGAAAAATATTTAGAACAGTATTTTTTATTAAAAAAAAATATCCAATGTAATCATGGATAAGAATGTGTTAATGTGTAATGCCTGACCATTGTATAACTTTTATCTTTGCAAACCAGTGCAGGATAACAATGTAGTTATTTCTCTTCGCCAGTAGATTTGTTAACATCTTGCCTTCTAACCATGTATACCTTGCTTCTACTGCCATAAATGCTAAGCTTCTCAATACTCCACTCTTCTAAGAGGATAGAACTCTATCAGCTTCAACAAAAGTTAAGAAATAGAACTTAAAATGGCTTTGATAACTTGAGGGAACACAAATTCCTGTTTATGAAGACTTTGTAGCAATGTAATAGGATTGTTTTAACTACCTAATTAAAATAAACTGTTACTACAGAAGATCTTTAATTTTAGTACAACAGGTTTCTCGGAGAAGCAGAAGACTATAATCCTTCTAGACTTTAAATATACATAGTAATTAATATCAAGAGAAAGAACTGGAATTAGATCAAGACCCAATAGAAGATATGATAGGAGATATATTGCCTCTCAATATGAGAGTAGACAAAATACCCATCTATCACTTATCTCGTTGAAGGCTGACGATACTATGTTTCTTTAAAAAACAACAAAGCAATAAATAGCTTAGTTGCAAAAAATTAAGAGTGCCCTGTGTGCTTAATTCATTGAAATATTTCTGAGATCAAGAACTAGAAAAGCAATTTTTGTCTTTTTCATAAAAAGAAAAAAAAATCTAGTTTGAGTTAAGAACATCATGTTTATGAAAGCAAGGGGAATGTAAAAAAATAGGTGACTTTAAGTATCTTAAAATATGTTTTAAGTGTCTCATTAGAAAAAATAAAAAAAAACCTAAACAGTATCACTGATAATACTTTTTAAAAGCTGCCCTCATTTTAAAATTGATAACTAAAATAAGAATTTCAAGTATTATATTTAATGTTTTCCTAATTTGTAAAATATGTAAGTACATATAGGGAGTACCCAGCCACTTTCATTTTAAATGCAAAACCTGACAGTAACCCGAGTTTATGCTGACATTGAAAATGAGTTATAAAAAGCTAATCAATCATCACCATTAAATATGTATTTACTTTTAAATAGGTTTTAATAAGTAACAGGAATTACTGAAACTATCATTTCAAAACAAGATAACACCATGAGGCTTGAGGTGTGGCTCAGCAGTATAATGCTTGCCTAACATGCATGAGGCCATAGGTCTGATTCACCATACCAAGAAAGAAAGAAAGCACAATGAGGTAGTCACAGCATCTTCTTGTTTTTGGAAATGAAAATAAAAGCAAAGAGACCAAGTAATTTGATGATCTTGTAGAACATCAGAAATGAAAGCCAGATCAGGATCAGCATCCTGATTTTGTTTTCAATATTAAGATAAGTCTTGCTTCAATTTGTCATCTTGGGGGAGATACTGACCTCTATTATAGAATGAAATACACAGAATTATGATTAATAATATATACAATATTTAGGCTTTTCTTAAATTGCTATCTAAAAATCTTTGTAAATTTTCAGAACAAGATCACTCAAGATTTAAAGACATACTTCAAATCTCAACTTGTATAAAAAAGTATGTTCCTAAAACAACATGAAGTTGGCTATATCAATTAAAAGAAAAAGTTGATTTCCTTTTTTAAAAAGGTTAAGTGTTTACACACAAACTACTGTGGGATGATTAATGGTTTGTTTTAGGACTGGCCTATCCTTTCCTAAGCAAAACTAGACATAAATCACTTCCTTCAAAAACTGGTCTGAGAAGGAGTCTCTGGTTCATCCTATTTCCTTCTCTTTCCCTACCAGCCCCCAGCTCTCAGAAGTCTGGATATGATGTATTGAGAAGAAAAACACCAACTGCACCAATTAAGAAACTCCCTTTTTAAAAAATTCAAGTATCACTTCTGCAGAATTGAGGGTGTTTAGCCATTCATCACTTAATGTGACTCACTTTAATTGGTCTTCTAAACACCTAGCTAAGCATGCAAAAGAAATAACATGCTCACTGGGAGCTTTGGGTAAGAAAGATAAAAAGACAATTCTGAGCTATGTCCAGGTGCTTCAGAAGACAGAAGAAAAGAGGGTCCAGGACTAGATGCTGGAGTTTGGTCAAAAACAGTTTCAAATACGTTGTAGTTTTGGATTTAGTACCACTGACCTAGAGCAAGCCAAAGCAAATATTCACAGTGAAACATCAGGCATGCAGCTAAAGGGTATAATTGTGAGGCCAAATACCATGAAATTTCAAACAGTCTGAATACATATATAATGTTATATAATGTAGTAGTGCCTGAACTCATACATCTGTAGGTCCAACTGTACATATTGTTACTTAAAATCATTTTGCAGCCAGTGACTGAAATGGAAAAGATTTTTCAAATTCTTTACTTAATATCATCAACTATGAAACTTATCTTATGTTAAAATATTTTTATTTTATTTTGAAAAATTACTATTGACAGAAGTCAAAGTCTTATATGGCTGGGCTATGTCTACTAATATAGAAGTTCTCTGTAAATAACACTGAAAACACAATCATAGGGAAAGGTGTGGCTCTTCTTGATTTGAAAGTATTCAATTACAAAACTAACTTTTCTAATAAGAAAGAAATAATTGTTTATGATTATTTAAGGTTTTATTAATATAATAAATTTTGTGGATTTTAGGTTCAAATTACAAGTTTATATTTTAAATGACTGAAATCTGGTCATTAAAGAGTCTTAATAAAGCATCTGACGATGATTTTAGATAGGGTAAGGTGACTTCTTGCCCATCTATGTACTAAAATACAACAGGATTTGCAAAGTACATTATTTGAGGAAAAAAAAAGTTTCTATACAGGAATAGTGACTGCCTATAAAAATGCAGGTGATGTATTTTAAAAGACCCTAGGTTGTTCACTTAACCTATATAAAATCTTTACATTGGATTTTCTGCCAATATCTTTTCCTGGCCAGTTTAGAAAGTACCTTTGATTCATATCTCACAAACTCTAAATTAGAAAACAGGAGCTGAAGAAAAAAATTGCCATTTTAAATATTTTCTTGGACTAATAGTCATATAACGGGTATCTCTGACATTTCTGATTTACAGTAACATGGGTACTTAAATTCATGATTCAAGAAAAAATAATATACTGGAGAATCCTTATGAAAATCCAAGCATGAAATTCTAACAGCTCAAAGTGGCTTATGGTAATGCAATATATTCAACATTTATGGTTCTTTTCTACACACACATTGGAAGTGTAATGTATATTCTCAGGGAATCTTTACAACAACTGACTTACCTTTCAATAAAATAGGAAAAGCTTTTTGAAATTCTATACTTAATATCATCAACTATGAAACTTATCTTATGTTAAAATATTCTTACAGGAATATAATTTTGAAAAATCATTATTGACAGAAGACTAATAATGGGAAGAAAAATATATCTAAATAAGTAAGTTCTTTTTATAAAGCTGATTTCTACAGCATTACATGGATTTACACAATTTTAAACAGGGAACTCTGTGTTGCATAGTCTACACAGTCATTACATTTTTTTGCTCTTTCTGAATCCTGAGGCAGATTTAGTATTATATGGAGATACAGTATTTTCCACACTGAAACCAGACAAATACTGGAGTTTTTGAATAGCGTTACTTTTAATTGCACTACTTTAAAGTGGCAGGACACACTTCAGACACAAGTTAAATAAAAGTGGAAGTATTTGAATTCTTTGTACTTTGAGCTCTTCACAGGAAAAGTATTCTATAAATTCAAGTTGTTAAATTATGTGGGGGACAAGGCAAACAGATCATTCTCTGACAAAAAAAAAATAATAATCCTAGCTTTTAAGATAATTCCTAATGTCCAGTATAGTATATAGGATGCAAGATACTGGCATTTAACTATTCAAATTTATGTAGAAGTACAGTACTTTGGAGAAGTACAAAGAAATACCTTTTTAAAAAAATACAGGTATATAAATTAATGAAACCAGTATTTAAAAGATTTAATACAAGGAAAAAAGGTATTGTATAGTGGTACCAATTCTTAATACAAATTATTAAGCATAGTTTATATAATTTCAAAAGTTATTCACATTATTGCTCGATACCACAGTTGCATGGAACAAACTCTTGACACACATTAAAACTTGTATAATTTCAGGCTTATAAAAACAAAAATTTACACATAGGCCATATAGATATCTAAAAAGTTTTTAAATGCATGGAGGTTATCTATAATCAAAAAGACAAAAAAAGTATGTATGTGTATAGTGTATATTTAAAAATAATAAACTAATGATTCATGTCACAGTCACTCTCAATCAAAAAAAGTAACATAACTGACTGAAAGTGAATGCACAGATAAAAACAGTACTAAATATGTCCTCCATTTCTTAGTAGGAACTTGTTCTAAATACCATTGGGGTATTAAATAATAGCTTACTTTTAATCTAGAACTTTTGTTTTCTTTTCGAAACACTTTAGAAACATATCCATTCTACAACTACATTTGATTGGGAGGAATATTTTTTCTTAGAAATTTTTAAAGGAGTACTGCCATAGTTTTGAATATAAGATATGGTGAACAATAAAAATAACCCAAGTAAGGCCATTATTAATATCATCTTGACCAAAAATATATGCAGATTGTGATGCTACTATATTTTGTGATCCTGAGCTCTAGTAACCATTAGATGCATGCATACCATTCATTGATTTGCCTATTCTAATAAAAAATAATTTAATTCTGCCTTACTACCTTTGAAGACAGAAATATTTTCAAAACTTTTTGATAGGTCTTCATTATGTTAACAGATAGATCTGCTGTAAAAAGAATATTTAGGAATTATATGACAAAGGGTATGTTATGTAACAAAGGCTATTAAAGAAAACTTATTATTTTAAAGTAATTTCTATGTTAAATTTAAAAAAAGGAAGAAAAAATAATACAAAGAGTGTGTTTGCTAGAATAGATAAGTAGCGTCTTACAGGGGTGTTTTTCTATGTTAAGAAATTTATAAATAAAGAATTGTGTGTACCTTGGTGATAAAATAAAAAAGGCTGGCCACTTTGTATGCTAAGTTCAAATGTATTTTTTTGAGAATACAAAAAGTAATCCTTGAAAATCAGAATACATAACAGAATAAAGCACAATAACTTAAGTATTAAACATCTGTATGAAATAACTTGCAAAGTTTGACAAATATGCACACACAGAACATGCGGTTATTTAAAAAAAACAACAAAAACGAAAACAAACAACAACAACAACAAAAAAAAACACCACACAATTCTGTAGAACCAATGTTATGTCACCACCAGGAGAGCACCAAGCAAGGCACCATTGGAAAGACAACATACTTGGAAAGTCTCTATAAATAAAGTAAATGCTAATCTGGTCGAAAAATTGGTGTCTTTGGTAAAAATTCTATGAGGATGACCTGTAAAGGAAGAAGAGAAAGTTTTAAAAGGACTAAAACAGTTTTTTATCTTAAAACTTCACTTTCATCACTTAGAATTTTTTGAAAATCCATTCACATATCAAAACTACAAATTTTCTTAAAGCAGACATTTATTTGACACCCCAGAACCTCATCATTGAGAATTTTTCTGAATTTCAGTTCTATGAAGAAGCAGGCAAGTAAGTAAAATAAGTCTGAGAAGGTAAGTAGAGGTGGTTGATACAGACAGTGCCCCTGACAAACTGGAGGAATGCACATACTTGCATGCACATTATGAATGAATGAGAAGACTGAGAATTGCAGATGAAGTGTTATAGTCTATTTAATTCCAGCAATTTATGAGGTATTAGCACTGCTGTTTACAAATGAGAAAATTGATAATCTTACAAGTTGTAACATTATGGACTATGGAGTAACTATTTGAATAAAAAAGTTGTTTTAACTCCAAAGCCTTGTCCTTTCTATTGTATTATGTGACTATAGCTGTCCCAATATTTTCCTTCAGGCTTCTTCCCTTTTTCAACCCAATTCTGTAAGTTTTAGATGTTCTCATTTTACCACAGGATACTGGTCTATTTCTTTTAATTTTTTAAAGACCTTTTCTTCTTGAGTTAGCAAAATTAATTAAAATTTGGGGCTGGGGATATAGTTCAGTTGGTAGAGTGCTTGCCTTGCATGCATAAGGCACGGGGTTCAATCCCCAGCACCATCAAAGGGGGAAAAAAAAAAAAGATTAAAATGTGTTTGTTTCAAAGAAACTTTTAATAGGAAACTAAAAGAAAAAAACAAAAGCAAAACACAATACAAAAACATACAAGTTGATGACAGCTAATTTTTATTCTGAACTTGAGTCATCTTAAATTTTAATTTAACTCTCTCCCTTGCTCCATCTCTGTATGGACTAGTGCTGACTGAAAAGGCATTTAATCTGAACAATTTCCAAGTTTGGTGAGCACGTCAATTATTTTTTTCAGAAATTATTTTTTTGTGTGTGTCTTGATATGATCTCCAAATCTGAACACATTTACATGTTAATCCATTTGAACTAGCAAACTTTGTATTCCCTTGAGTTCTACTGGTTTCTTTTCCAGGGTCTCCCTAAATTGCCCAGACTAGACTAAAACCTGGGATCCTCCCGCCTCAGCTTTGAACAGCTGAGATTATAGCTGAATGAATCACAACCGACTGAATTATCATTAGTTTTTAAAAAACATATCCTACAAAACTCTTTTCCTTCACCAAGCACTCATAAAAATTGGGTACTTGTTTCTTCTAAATCATATCCCTCTAGTGTATCTGAATAAAGAAAAATTAGTATAAAGTTGGTATTTTTCCTAGATTATCTCCGAAATTCAAAATACTACCAGGAAGAATTATTTTTCTTTTTAACTAATAAATGACATTTCTGTAAGTTATAGAAAAGCTGAGGGAAGGAAGGCTACGTGACAAAAAAGGCTTGAATTCCTTAGGTAAGGAGGCATTCACTCTCTTCTTACTGGATTATATGCTATTTTAACTTTTAAAAATTACCCTTAGGGACTTTTTTTTTTTTAATATTTATTTTTTATTTTATTTTATTTTTTCCGGTGGACACAACATCTTTGTTTGTATGTGGTGCTGAGGATGGAACCTGGGCCGCACGCATGCCAGGCGAGCGCGCTACCGCTTGAGCCACATCCCCAGCCCCCTTAGGGACTTTTTGAAGCTATGTTATTTTTGCTTTTAGCTATCAAAATCACATTCTTTGTTAGCAATTTTTAAATTTTTTTTTGTTTTACTACTCTTCTAGGTATCTTCTATGATAATATAATACAATCATTTTAGAAATGCTTAATTATCTAAAAATTCAAGGTAAACTATTTTCCAAACAAAGCATAAAGTTCAGAATGTTTTAGAAGTTACTAAATTATTTTAATTTTGGTTAATAAAAAAATGTCATGAAATCTTTTTAAAAAATTCATATACCCTACTTGAAAATTACAGCATTGGAAATAATTTTTTTTTTTAGTGCTGGGGATCAAACAAAGGCCTTGAGCATTTAGGTAAGTGCTCTTATCACTGATTTATATTCCAAGCTCAGGTATAATTTAGATGTTTTCTTTTCCAAAGTAAATTTAGAAATGTACAAAAATAATTAATGCCTCCAACTTAAGCTTATTTGTTTGGATTTACAGATATAGCAAATATTTCTTACAAAATCCCTTAAATCTCCTAAATATCTATTCCTCCCCACAAAATGTATACACAAAACCCTCTTACTATCTATAATAAAAAATATGACTAATATTTTCATAGGTCAACCTTAAAACAAGTTACTCAAATGTGCTTTTCTTATGATTATAAAGAAGTATCAAGTGTCTTTCTCATCATCATAAATTAACATGTTTGATATAATAGATAAAGAAAATCTACATTATTCTGTTCATTGAATAGAGCTAGTTTATGGGAAAAAAAAGACACTTAAAAATATCTTTTTTGTTCAAGGCTAGAAATGGGATTTGACGACATGTTAATGAAAGAACCGGAAAATGCTAATAGAGAAAAATGATTTTATGATAATTTCCAACTATTTAAACACTGTTTTAATCAATCTTTTATACACACATACTATCTATGATGGTTATATTGTTTCAAAGAAAAGACAAAATTCATCAGAAATGTTATAACAGGTACTTCACAAAGGCTGTGGTTTTAATTTTCAACAATTAACTCTTCCTTAGATCTTTTTCTTTTAATGTAATAACCTTTCCATATTTAAAATAAAACACTCAAGTTAAGGGAGAAAATAAATATTCATAATTTCCTATAGTTATTTTCAACTTTTCAAAAGGAAAACAATTGTCCAAGTAAATCAAGGAGTCATTTAAAAGTTCTAAAATAAACTGTATATACATTCAAAATTAACTATCTTTTAAAGAAAAAACACAGAATGATCAGCATCTCCTTTCCTGCTTACTTTTAAGATAATTTTCACAAAGCAATATTCTAATAACACTTTGAAAGATTCTCTAAAGGCCACTGAGGTATACTGGCAGTTAAAGTCTATAAAGGCTAAAGGTTTCTTAAGCTCCAATGACTTGGCTGAAAGGTTTTCTTCCATACTTGGAAACTTGATTAGCATTATATAAAAAAGCCATATCTGACTTGCTGCGTAACCAAAGTTGTGGTTATTCTTTATACAGCATTTAAAATTTCACACTCCATCAACACATGTTCAGGCTATTTTATCTTGGCAATTAATTTATTATTTTTCAGAACACAGTGAAGCCTTGTTTTCAAGTCATTCATAACTTTATAAATCAGGCTTGCACATGAAACCCATGCATCTGTGAAGCGTAGAAAATCCTTGCACTCAGGAGATTAAGCTCCTGACACCTTTGCTGATTAATAATCATGGAAAGAATAAGATCAGAAGCAAAATAAATGATCATTTAATAGAGAAACTCACAAAACAGCCCTTTAACTTACATATTCCATCATGTTATTCGTTTCACATTTCCTTTTGCTCAGTCTCCAGTGCAAGCACAGCTAGACAAGTAGGAGAGTAAAAGAAGAAAAATGAGCTCTATTTTATTGCAGCACACAGACTAACCCATTTGTCCACCTTTCATATTTTTAGTTCAACAAAAGCATCTGTTTCCATACTGTGCAATTCAGACCCCAACAGTACGAAGTTGCTCCCTGTGGTACTCACCTTGTGGTATAACCTATTGTTTTCCCATTCTAATAACTTCTCAATCGATCTTCGTGTCTGGAAGACAAATGAGGAAAAAGTTTACTCTTGACTGGTTTCAGAAAAACTTTGTTTTGCAGCTGCTTTTTGTGTGAAAAGGGGAGAAGTACATGACAGTGACTGAGTATAGGATAGCGTCTACCACTATCAATGTTCTAGCATGAAATAGAAACCTGAACAGAAACAGTACTTTTCAAATAAACATACACTTTGGTTTATTTGCATATGTATTTTTTAACTGTTTCAAATTTACTAGCTTCTGATTTCAAAGTATCAACGTCTAAAAAATTATTTATCTGCCAAATGATGTATGTTTAAGTTCTAAGTTCTTTCAAAAATACTTTTGCAATATTTAAATAGTAACAAAGGCCCTTAATACTTTAAAACAAGGATAATTTAAATATTAACTAACAAAATGCAAAAGCCCTTTAAGGTAAATCTTAAAATGAAATAACTGAACATTTTTAAAGAAAAAAACCCACCGAACTATAAAATTCAAATTTTAACATCATACTTTAAAATAATGTCTACATTTTAAAAAATATTAATTATTTCAGTTAGAGTTTCTAAACAAAGTCAAAATTTTGTTCAAACCAATATAAAAGTAGTGTCTGGTAGTCAAACCAAATTCTTAATACATGGTACTCTTTAAAGAATCAACTGAGAAATTCACTTCACTTGATTGTTCCAGTATATATATGCAGCAGGATATGTTTCTTGTTTGGAAGGATGAATAAAGGAGAGTATAATTCATGATGCCAGGTGTTAGGATGAGACTGACACAGCTGCAGGTGCAAAAGTGATAGTATTGCCACAAGGATCAACTGCAACTTGGTGCAGCTGCAGTTTTCTTGAGAAAGAAGGAAAAAAGCATCTACTGCTATTAATATGGTACAACTGTAAATAAATACTAATAATCAAATATGTAATGCCTGTCAAACAAGGATGAGCTAGGTGAAAATTTTTAGGATCAAGTTGATTTTGAATTTTAATGTTACATAGTAAAAGATTAATATTTATTTAAATATTTATTGTAATCTAGTTCTAAATATTACCTTTTAGCATGTTGAACATGCTAAAAACATACCAAAATCACCTAAGTGCCAATTATAATTCATAGCTACCAACGAATTACCACTACTGTCTTAAATTTTCCAAGCTTAGGCCATAGAAATCAGAAAATCAACTACCTTTCTGGGTGATAATACGCCAATGACTAATTTATTACATTACTTTTTTTGAACAGTCTTTTTGGCAAGAATTTTAAAGAAAAAAAAGTGCCCTTGTTAACAATGATCAGCAGACCTCACTTGTTTCTTTGTAAAGATAGCCTTTTAGAGGCAGCTCTCCTTTTAAATGAAAATAGGGCAGCAGTTATGGTCACACTTTTTGTTAATTTAGTTGCCAGTCAGCCCCAAATCAAAAGAAAATAAGGCTGCAGAGTGTAATTAACATTCAGTTCAGTCGTTTTGTCCCTTGTCTAGCCCCCAAGCTTTGTTAAAATTGCCATCTGAATGCTGAAGGCTGTAGGGAAATCGATTTGATTCTAATCGCACCATGAAAAGAACATGATCTAACTGCTTTCAGCCCTCCGTAAATCTGTACTAGGTCTTTAGCACAATGCAACTTCCAATTTAAAAAGCACTGAATGTCTCGTCAATGACTTTGTGAAGAAAAAAGAACAAGGAGCAGACATAAAAATTCCAATAGTTGTTTAAGCATTAAAGTTCATTTGCATCACAGCGAACCTGAAAAGGGCTGACCTCTCAAACCGCCTCTCAGGTCTATGAAGTTGTAGCCTTGACAAGCTCACATTGACAGAGCTCATTGACTCTGAAAGGCTACTCTATCAATGGTGAAAAATGGCAATAGGTTCTACTATGAGCAGGCATCTGCCTGCCCACCCGCTGCTAAACCAATGGTAAAACCGATTCAAAACCTGAATCTACCTTGTAATCTTCCTTTCTAGGACCTTTTAATAATAGATTAAGATTACTATACAATTTGAGGTTTTACTTTTACTGATGGTTTAAAGGTTGGAAGGGGTGTTGAAAGAAACAGGGTAGGGAGAGAGAACTAGCTTTCCAAGTCTATTGTTTTATATTAACACATAAAAATAGAATCCAAAAGCTTAACACTACACTTTGCAAATATTTACTACTTAAAGAAAATAATATTGTTAGCATCATCTTATTGCATCAGAAATTTAAATCCATGAAAATCTACATTATGAAAATGGAATTCTTTATGATGCATATATATATATATATATATATACATACACATATACAAACACAATTTAAAACTTTAAAATATTTACTTTACATAACTTACATCAACTACCAGTATTTGAATAAAAAATAATTACATAATTACAAAGTATGAACCTAAAATTCCAAAATACTTATGTAGGAATTCTGAATTTATTCTTTGCCTCTAATTGAGAGTTTAACGATAGGGTTTGTTATAGTAATTGCGTCTTAAAATATTTAAGAATTCTAAACCAAACAAACCCTGCTATGCTACATTCTGAATAAGCATCTAAATATACAATATTTCTACACACTTGACAGTCTGAAGTAAAAGCTGTGAATTAGCACCATCTAATCTTGCTATAAGACTTCTTTCCTGCTTGACAGGTGAAAAAAAAAGGCACTTGCACGTGCAGCTTAATTAATCATTGCACTTGACATCTCAATGATTTACAGTGAGGAGCAGGTGAGAACATACAAAACCAGAAAGAACCCTTGATTTGAGTGGAACATTTCTTGCACACTAAGGTGACAAGTATGTAGATTCTAGCAGAGATTAAAAAATAAAAAAAAAGAAAGAAAAGAAACTGTGCCACAAATTATTTGTTAGTAGCAACAAAAGCTCAAATTAAATGGAAAAAAAAAAGCTGTAACTACTGAGAATGTTTAATACTCTGCAATTAATTTTAGTTAACAAAATCAAAATATATTTTCAAGATTAAATACAATACCAATTTGACAGATCATGAAAAAAAATGACACTTAAGCATTTATAAAAGCAATTTCAAAGCTTTCAAACTTCAATTGCAGTCATTTAGAAATAAAAGTTAAGAGTTTATGTCCACAGGACTATCAGAGATCTATTTCTAATTTCAACATTGCCAAACTCTACCGTAACTAACTGGACAAGCAAACTTAATCATATAAAAACCTGTCGTGGAATTTAAATGTTTATATTGACCTCCAAGTTTCAAAATAAAGCAAATTAAACCATTAGAAAAAAATATGTAGAGGCCTACCAACAAAAAATACCAATAAAACATTATCTTTCTAGGCCAGCTTTTAAAAATGTCATCTTAATTTTCTTTAAAGAATTTAGTGCTTGTGAAAAGCCCCGAATTGATAGTCATGGGAACTAAGGATCTTCTATTTAGCTGAAAGAACAGGGGAAAGGGCAGTGCAGGCTTCAGTACAAGGTTCCCTACAGTGGGCCTTAATCCTTTTCAGTGCTTACACCCTGGGGGTGAGAGGACAGGTTAGTGGTTCTTTACCAAGGAATCCTCAGTCCTTCTGCTTAAGATGATCAATAAGAAATCTAATTTTATGATGGATTCTTTAATTAAAATTACCAGGACCACCAACTTACACCATGTAAGCAAAACAACTTTTTGTGAGAATGTCATGTCACTAACCTGGAAGAGGACAGCTTCAAGCATTTGGACTCCCACCCACCTCCCTTGAGAGTTCATTTTGAAGGCCCTCCCTTTTAAAACAGTAACAACACATTTCTTCATTTCAACATCTTGGTGGTTTTATTTTCCTTATTAGTGAGTTACTTCTAATATAGCCTCTTAAAATAACAGATTAAAAAACATAATTCAATTAATAAATATACGTTATAGATTTAAATTGAGTAATAAGCAATAGTACCATAAGGAGAAACATTTTGGCTTCTACTCTTGTTGTGCTTGGTTGCTTTGAAATGTTTGGTAAAACTGTGGGAATAAGCCAAAACATGAGAACTGCAAGAGAAGTCAAAAGATATGAACAATGCACAAAACAACTTACTTAGGTGACTAATCAACAAGGTTAGATATGACATACCCGTAAGTTCCAAAAAAGAATATAAAGTAAGCTTACAAAAGTAAAAAAAAAAAAAAAAAAAAAGTATGAAACACTGTGAAAACCTAAATTACTGAAATACAAAATCAGGATTTCCTAAAAAACCTCAAATTTGATTATAAAATATTTTTACAATTTCATTTAACTAACTTTTTCTCTATAGATAAAGTTCACTACTTATAGGTTTATTTGAATTGGATTTATTCATAACATCAGAGAATGTCAAAGCCAAATTTCAAACATTCAATTTCTTATTTAAAACAAATTTTGAATTTTAAACTTCTAAAAGTATAATTCATTAAGCTTTAACTAAAATGCTTTAAATGTATTCATAATCTTATTTTTAACTTTTAAATGTTTTTCAAATAAGAATTACACATATATTTAGACTACACTACAAACTGAAATTGTTAAAATAAGTGAAACAATTAATATTTTTAGTTATAAGTTATTAGAAGGAAAACATATGATTTGGAATGGATTATTTTAACTTTGGAGAACTAAAGAGAAAATTACTTGATTTACTTCTGTTTGTTCTGGATTAATGTTAAATCTTATATTCCAATTATGTGCAGAAAATTCTATGTCGTATCTCAAAATTATGACATATGAAAAACTTGGATTACCAATCATATAACAAGAATATGTATGAATTGCTCAAAGGAATTTTTAACCAAATTCCCTTCCTCTACATAAAAGCTCCTTTTAAAAATTGTTATGTGAACACTGAATTTCAAATAATCTAAATATACTAAAATATCCACTAAAGTATTATTAGAATAAAGTTTTTAGTAATGTTTGTTAAAAAGTAGTATTGTTGGGGCTGGGGATGTAGTTCAGGGGTACAGCACTTGTGAAGCCTGAAGAAGTCCTGAGTTCCATCCCCATAATTGCAAAAAAGAAGAAGAAAAAGTACCCCTGTTA